TTTGAAAGCTAAGCAGCTAAGATTGAAAAAAAAAATTTTAAAAATTTGAAAAAGTTTTAAATATCTCAAAAATACCTAATTTTTGGTATAGGACATTGTTCACAAATTTTATCTAAAATTTCATATAGAATTCGAAAATAAAATAAAAAATAGTAGGTTCTATTTAAAACAACAAAGTTAACGCCTACTTCCGGTATAACTGGAAGTGCGACATTCAGGACATTATATTTCAACTCAGCGCTATCCAAACCCTATATCCTCGCAATTTCAGATTTTTAACATAACTGTATCCTCCATTACTTTTAATCAAAAGTTGTCGCGCCACGCCCTGTATAGTCGGATTGCTTGGAAGTAAGGTTGAAATAAAAAATTGTTTTTATGATTTGTTTATTTAATATAAAAATAATATTAAAGTTGTTCTCGACATCTATGTACGTTGTTTTTGATGTATTTGGACAAATATTTCACATAAGCTATTAGTACATTTTCTGCTCTGGTTTTCACCTGTTGTTCCAAGTTCAGCTCATAAATGTTTTGTAGGCTAGTCCATATTTAGTTTTTGATTTATTGGGTAAAAGTATTTAATTGTTCATTTATCATAAAACGAATTTTGAGGTGCGTACCCAATTTAATATCACGATTCAGAACTCATGAATTACAGACTTATAATGCAGTTTTACAAAAACAAAGACGAGTTTTTCGCGAGTTGTTTATATAAAATGTCTCCTAACGGGCAAACTGTTATTAAATCAATATAATTGGTTAGTTTTATATTCACATGTATAGAGATATAAAATTATTTCCATTCTGTTGTGTGCAATTGCCAACTTTTCAATCGGTGTAAAGAAATAATATTTACATGTACAAAAGATTATCTACAATGATTACTCTGTTGAAAAATATTTAAATATATTGTCTGGTCCGAAATGTTCTGTAAAGTACATTTGCAAATATATGTAGCGTTTACGCTACTGACTAGTCCAATTTAAACCCCTCAAGAAATTTTCTTATAACCCGCCTGTGATCGATTTTTAAATCGACATTTCTCCACTCACGCGCTGTTAGCGCTTTGAAAGGAAGATCGATTTTATGCGGAAGCGGAACGATGAGTTTTGGTCAGAACTCATACGCAGCCACGTCAACCGGTGAAATTTTTCACCTTCAAAGTGACGGAATTGGAGCAAGGAAGATAATTTGGGGACGAATAAAATAATACCTAATTTAATAATCATATTATAAAAATAATAATAAGTAAATTTTTAAAATCAATATTTATAAGAGTTCCACATAAAAGGAAGATTTTTTTGGCGTGCTGCGACTCCATATTCCGTCACTTCACTTGAGGATATTCTCTTCAGAATATTCCCTCAAGGACTAGTAACTAAATTCCTTAAACTAGTTAGCAACTTGTGTATGTAACCCGTGGATTTTGCTGTCACCCAGAGACCAGTGACTGGTTGTGGTTTTGTGCCCAGGATTCGTCTTTACAGCCATAAACTGATGTAACCGTGCCAAGAGGAATTTTCCTATGGACTTATGGGGCTGTAAAGATAAGTTGTTTGACTGTTTAATTGTTTAACTTTTGTTACTTCCTATTTAGTAGTATACCCTCTTCATATGCATATGACAAGGTGAACATTTTTTTTTTGATAATTTAATTATAAAATATTTGGGGAGGGAAAAAGGACACTTCATGTGTTATTAGGTTTTAATTAGGATTTCAAGAGTACTGACCAAACTCACTTTTGCTATAATATATTTTTTTTTAATACATTTGATATACTTAATACAATTTGATATTGGAAGAGGGAAATAAATTTAATGTGGTTTTTTTTTAAATATGATGTAATGAGCATGAAGACTCACTTTTGAATGTAATATATTTAATAGAATTGTAACAGATTTATCACTTTTGATATCTTTACAATATTGTCATTAGTATCTCATATTAGTAGAACTAATTTAAATTTAAATGACTACCTTTTTGTGTTAAGACTTTGGCTACAATACGGACTATTCTTGTTGTTTACTGACATTTTATACTTTATTTGGCCAGTGGTAGTGATTATTCGTTTGTTGAGGGGCTATTAGGTCCCACTGTATGTGTACACCATCCACTACCACTGTTATTTGGCTTTGCATTATATGTAAATTGTTTATACACATATACCTATATACATTTTTTTATAAATATATTTATTGTTACTATTTTGAGTTTTATTTCAGTTCTACTAACCAGTATATAACATAGCAAAACAAGATTATTATTTAGTATTTTTGTATTTCAGAGTATTATCTCCAGATTCATTTGTTACTTCAAAATCTCAACTATCGTTAAGTTGGCGCCCTTCTTTTCTCTTCCTATTGTTCTCTTTCTATAAATTTATTCCCAGTGATCTTGTTCAGTTGTATCACGTTTGATATTACCAGGTCTCATTTCTTTCTTGTCTCATTAGCTCATTATCTCTTGTTATTGTTGTTTATATCTTTAAAGCCACAATCCAGTGCATTGAAGCTAGTCCGAACACTCTCTTGAGATTTAGTGTCTCTTTGGCCATTTAAATTTGTTCCTCTGAGCTTAGCCCTATTTTTAGTATTTTCTTCATCACCTCTTTTTCAGTTCTTCTGGAATTTGGAAGTCTTACACTTCCTAAAATCCAATACTCCCGGAGAATTAAGCGTTTCATATAGTGCCTTGACTATGCATAATTTTGGTAAGTGGTAAACCAAGCAATAAACACAGCTGGCATTAAAGAAGGAAAGGCTCTAGCTTTGAACCATTAAAAGGGCCGTGCTAACCCCAAAGACCGTACGAATTTTAGACGAGATATCCCGATTTACATAAAATTAGAGTTATAAAATCATTACAAATCTTTATAAAAAAGTTAGGCACATCAACATACAAAATTTAAGAAATAAAAGCATATGCAATATTTATTAAGTAATAGTTAAATATTTATTTAAAAAATGTCAGCTCAACATTTTTTCTCCCAATTTCTTATTTTAAATGATGCCACCCACATATGTGTTATACATTAAAAATACAATAATATGGTAGTAGTCTTAAAATTTACTGTCAATTATACATACTAATCACAAACATACTCTTGTTTTATATTTAAGCTCTTAAAAATTTGCAATAAATGTTTTTTCGTATATGTTTCTTTAAAATAAATGAGGCGTTGAGCGCAAAAGTGGCCCAAGCCCAAAATATTCAACACGGAGCAAATCGCAAAAGAAATTTTGCTCTTTTTTTGAATGCAAATTAATGTTTCTAAAACTTAAATTATATCATTTATTTTTTTATGTTTGTATGTAAAATGATATTAGGTATGGTAATATTACTTTTTTTGCATGTAATTAAAAAAATATAGATTTGATTGTGGTTTGGGCCACTTTTGCATTTATGGTTTTGTTATAACTTATCAAAGCAATAAGACAAAACACACAAAATTTAAGAAATAAAAGCATATGCAATATTTATTAAGTAATAGTTAAATATGTATTTAAAAAATGTCAGGTCAACATTTTTTCTCCCAATTTCTTATTTTAAATGATGCCACCCACATATGTGTTATACATTAAAAATACAATAATATGGTAGTAGTCTTAAAATTTACTGTCAATTATACATACTAATCACAAACATACTCTTGTTTTATATTTAAGCTCTTAAAAATTTGCAATAAATGTTTTTTCGTATATGTTTCTTTAAAATAAATGAGGCGTTGAGCGCAAAAGTGGCCCAAGCCCAAAATATTCAACACGGAGCAAATCGCAAAAGAAATTTTGCTCTTTTTTTGAATGCAAATTAATGTTTCTAAAACTTAAATTATATCATTTATTTTTTTATGTTTGTATGTAAAATGATATTAGGTATGGTAATATTACTTTTTTTGCATGTAATTAAAAAAATATAGATTTGATTGTGGTTTGGGCCACTTTTGCATTTATGGTTTTGTTATAACTTATCAAAGCAATAAGGGCTTGTGATATGAAAAAAAAAAGGAAAATACAATTATTTAAATTTATTTAAGGCAAATAAACTTTATTTACAATATTTTTTAATTGTCATCATCTGCTATTGCGTCCAGGTCCTCTGCAGCACGTTCACTGTGTAGCAGTAGTTTATAAAATTCGTGATGAACGGGAGGAATATAGTCAAGTAACGCTAGCAAATCTTTGTGTTTTGCTACTTGTATCGGCCTTGGTCCTGCAAATAATCGCTGATTAAATGTGGCAAGTTCCAAAAAGTTTTTCTTGTCCCGTTTTGTCATGTTAGCTTCATAAAAAAAAAACCTCTTCGTTGTTGGAATATTTGAATTTAAAAAATCCAGGTTTTTCCTTACTGTAGCGTAGCCACTGTATGCGCAACCACTCTACTTTTTCTCCTCTTTCAGTTGTTTTACGATGCGTTAACGCCTTTTCCAAACCTTGCGTGGAAAAAAAATCTGTGGATTTCATTGCGACCACATGGAACTTATTCTTTTTTCGGGTGTCAGACACTACTTGCATCCAGTCACTAGGAACATAGATGTTTTTATAGTGCTTCTTGTTCTTCTCAATAAGTCCGAAATCTTGGTCATTCGGTAAATATGAATGTCCAGAGACTAAGAATTTATGATCTATACTTTCTACTGTAAATTCGTTGCTTGCAACAATGTAAGTACAAAGGGCAGCCATTTTAAAGTTTCTGTTCTGCCCTCCACATTGATCACTGTACATAATCAATTTTTTCGTTCCAACATAGTTCTTTATGTAATGTGCAATGCAGGATCCAATTTCTTGGGATCCACGTGAAGCAATGCTTTCATTCCACATGTACATGTGGGCAACATGTGTTTGTAAGTTATGAATTCCGAAACAAAACGTCCACAACTGCCTTTTGTAGTAGGCAATTCCCGTAGAAATAATTGGTGTTGCTAAAGTTTTCATAAGGTCAAATGAAATAACTGTCAGATCGTTGTCGAGAACAGCTGCTGCTGCGTCCTGATTCATACCTTGTCGTGCAGCTTCTGCCTTTCTTTGATGTAGTTCTTGCTCTGCTTGAATAATGTGACACTCTTCGTTATTTGCTATAGCGGCTTTAATTTTAACGTTAAATGCATCACATTTGCGACAACTGTCTGAAATTGGAGGATGAAAGCTCAAATTGAAGTCTTGATTGAAAATGCGACGGAATAAAAAGATTGAAACGTTATTATTTGGTACCTCAGCCTTGTATAAATTGAATAATTTTGTTATGTCTAGATCAGGAGATAGGTATTGACGTGCTGGGTTTTTTTCTCTCGAATAGTGAGAGTCGTAAACAGGAAATTTATTTATAAAATTTTTAACTCCCTCAATCTTTACTTCAGAAGTCTTATTCGCTGATGATGTTTTACCGCGACCATCAGTTCGAGGTGTTCCAGTTGTTTTCTTTGTTGCGAGAGCCCTTGTTATTCGACCATCAGAAACCCCTAATGATAGTTTAAAAAACTCTTTGCAGACCTGGCATTCTTTTCCACGCTCATCCGATAAAAAATAGTATCTTGCATTTTCTTTTTTTTTAATATTCTGCGTGCTGTATGATCGTTCTTTGACCTGAACGCGTATTTGTCCATATATAAATGCAGTTTGCAAATCGTGTGACTCTAATGCATAAAAGTTTTTAAATAGTGCTTCACGCCGCTCTTGCGAAAACTTCGCATGACATTTTTTTAAGCACATACAGTCTTTAGCCACAAAAGTTTTCGCAGGCACAATATTTCCCTTTACACTGATGTATTCTTGGCCTGCAGTCTTGTTCCTTTTTCTAATATTTCTCTTCCATTGTAATTCATTCCGGATCCTTTTCTTTCCTTTTGATTTTGGCATACCATTTTCCTCTTCTAATAACGATGGTACGTAATTTGAAGTAGAAGCCACATCCTCTGCTGAAATAAAAAAATATGTTTTTTTTCTATGCAGAATAATTTTATCACTTTTTATATTTTCAATTGCTGAATCAACCGAGAACGCCAAATTTTTGGAAACCATCAAGAAAAGGAGAACGGCGCATCTAGGTCACATCATGCGAAATGAAAAATACCAGTTCCTCCAACTTAAAATCGAGGGTAAAATTGAAAGCAAGAGTGGAATGGGATGCAAGAAAATGTCCTCGCTCCGAAACATAAGGCAATAGACAGGGATTAACGACATAAAAAATATCTGATACATATTGCAAGAAACAAAGAGGTAATGAAAAATATGATCGCTAACATCCATTAGTGGATTTGCATTTGAAGAAAAAGAATTGCTCAGCCATTATTGACAAGAAGTACTTATTAATCCGCCCTGTAAAATATTTATAAATAGTACGCCAAAAGTATTATTGTTGTTGTACATACCTCTGTCAGTAGGGGATTCCCTGGACTCTATACTATATTCACTTGGTTCATACTCGGATTCTGACACCGGAAAAGGTTCACTATCTAAAGAATAAACATTTCGTTAGTTATGTTTGTAATACTCATAGGTAATAACTTTAAAAGACGATTACTATTCTTTTTGATTGAATATTAACCGAATACACAACATGTGTATGTAAATGATACTGTGTTATGGCACTGGAACTAATTCAATTAGCCAAAACAAATGTGTAAATGTTATTAGGAAAATGTTTAGATATTCATTTTCACATATATCACGATTATTATATTTATTTATACAAAAAGCAGTTTCTATATTAATTTAATTAGTAATTATTCTTCGAAAACCTAACCTTAAAATTATTTAAACAACCGTTTGCGCTGATTCTACATTTCACAATATTAAAAAAATGTTTGTAGATACTCACCTGAACTTCTTTCGTCGTATTGCCTAATTGTATCACCCATAATATTGTAATAAACACAACAATTAACACTTTTAAATTCGGACTGTACCCAATCAGCTTTATGTCAAAACTGCAAATCTGCTAATGCAAAAACGGCCCATGAGGTTTGGGCCGTTTTTGCATTTAAAATGACTTGCAATATGGAGAGTGCAAAAGTAGTTTGCACTGCCATCTCTCGACGGGTAGCATGATTAGGGTTGGTTCGCATTTTCATTATAAAATTTGTTGTACTAACAGGCCATTTCTGCATATAACTCAATTTTAAACATTTTGTGGGTTGGACCACTTTTGCGCTCAACGCCTCAAATATCATATTCGAATTTTGAATACTAACTTTAATATCATTGGCACAAGAAGCTTTATTTATTTGTCTACTATGACAAGACGCATTGTCCATAACAATTACACTGTTTCGTGGTTTATTTGGTATTAATAATGAATGCAAAAGAATGGTATTTTTTTTCTTATAAACGGACCCACTAACTCAATACTTTCATATATGAAACTTATAAGACTCTAAGACGATAAGCTGATGTTTCTAAACTGTCTTTCTATTGTAGATAGCAACGACGATTTAAGTCACTTTGTCGAAAACACTAACAGATCTATTAATAACCAACTTACTTGCAAAAAAATGGTTCTGTTACACTAACTACTTCTAATCTTATTATAATAACTAATGATTAATAATAATGGTAATAAGTTTTAATTTCATAATATTCTTGGCCATCATAACATGATACGAAAACAATTTTGCTTTCATCTACTTACCCTAGTTATGGCACACGCACTTGCTTTTTTTGCATAATATCGATTTTATTGTAACATTAAATAAATTATAAAACCTTTTTTTGTCTTCATCTATAAGAGAGAGTGTTTTCTTTAATTTTATCTTTACCTCAGAATATTTGCAGGTCAAATAATGATTTATAGCTATTGGTATCTAGCTATATAATGATATATAGCTAGATACCTCGCTATCTTAAGACGATTTTACATCATATAGTCTTTGAGTGATATTCAAAGCTTTATCGTATCATTAAAAACACTTTTCTAAAATACCCATTTCTAATTTTTTCTTGTGTGTCAAAAATTTCGTCATTTTTCATCGAGAAATTCGTCATACAAGATTTTGAATTGCTTGTACACATGAAAATATAAAACAACGTCAGACTACAATTGTTACCAGAAAGATCTGAAGTATATGACGAAAAGTTGAATTTGGTCAGTCGTGTAAACGAGACAAGATCAAGGAGCTTCAGTTCAAAAACAGTTATTAAATTCATTTTATTCAAGTTTAATAAAGTTATAAAAAACAAAATTATTAGTATTCTATTCTAGTATATCTTAAAATTTATAATTATATACCCCAAATTTTAATTCACTTGTTTAAATGTTATCTCAAGTTTTTTTCTGGGCTCTGAAATACCTTTACTTTGTAATAATGTTGAAATGTGCAACAGGAGTAAAAGAAAAATTGAAAAAGAAATGTCGAATACTGAGAAACTACGCAGTCCAGATTGGATCCCCTTTAATTAATTTCCGTAACCCTATGCAATACTTGGGTCATGTGTTGAGAGGCGAAAAATATAAATTACTTCAAGTTATACTGGAAGGAAAAGTACAGGGCAAAAGATCAGTAGGAAGACGCCAGAACTCATGGCTGAAAGACCTGAGGAGATGGTTCGACCGCTCATCTGCAGAAATCTTTCTCGCAGCAGTTTCCAAAACCACAATTGCCATTTGGATCGCCAACCTTCGAAAGGAGACGGTGCCATGAGACGAAGAAGAACCCTGTAGAAATAAGTATTCAAATAATTGCATCGTTGCAAAGGCGATTAGGAGACATTTTAAATGAGGTATCCCGTGATCCCGGTTGTTATTTTAAAAAATCGCTGATTACGTCATTACGCCAACACTGATGACGTAATGTCCAACACACATATATAGCAGTTGATGACCACTCAAAAATTAGAATTGACGTGTTTTAAGATTTTTTTAAAATTCGTCTGTTTCTGAAATAATGAAATTATTTCCATAGATTTGCATCATACTGTGTATAATAATAAATTTAAATTATATATGAAATACAAATATTTATTTTTAAATACTAGAAAAGTTGAGTGTGTATAATTTGCAATCAAGTGATGTTTGTTTTTGTGTATTATTAAAAATTATTAAAACACATATTCAAATTTTATGTAAAGAGCACATTGAATTAGTAGATTAATATTTTTGAACAGTAAACGTGAATATATTTTTGATCATAGTTATCATTATTTCTCATTTTTGTTTTTAATTTTCAGGTATTTTAACATTATTTACATCGTTTGGTGAGTAGAATATTTTAAAAGTATTATTATGATTTAATTTTATATGTAATATAATAACAATTTAGTTTAGTTTTAATTTAAGAGAGAAATGGCGATATTTGATTTTAAAACTTTGTCTTTTTTAAAACCCTAGTTTTTATCGCGGAAGATGTACCACACGCAGAAAAAAATCAACAAGTCATGTGAAATAGAATCATTTAACCTAAACACACTATAATTATGTCTGTTCTTAGAATAGACATATAATACAAGCTAGACTGATTGTTTCAATACCAGCCCGCTCCCCCAGCGCGACAGAGAAAACCGAAGCAAAGTAGTCCCTGCATATTTTTCTAATTTGCAAGGTTTATTGACCACATGACCTAATGACCAATGACAAGGTTAAATGGTCGATAAACCCGGCCCATTAGACAGAGATGCAGGAAATTCTTTGCGCCAGTTTTCTCTGTCGCACTGGGGGAATGTGAATGTGTTACAGCATTAAGTCTCTCTTGTATGATATGTCTATGGTTGATAGTACCAAACAGTAAAGGTTATCCGTACAAATATTGTTCTAGGTCTGGATTTAACCATACTTTCTGTTCTAAAGCTTTTTTTGTAGCGCTTTTAATATTACAAGCTCTAAGAACTATAATATATCGGGACAGACTAAAATACATGCATAATTCAGATAATTGACAGTCCAATCAGGAACACAAAACAATTTCTGTTATTCTGAATATATTTTCTTGTAGCATTTTAAAATTACGAGCCCTGAGAACTAAAGATTTGTGTAAAATCATGATGAAAACCGATGAATTCGTGTACTTATAGGGTGAGGAAGATAAGCAACAACAGAAACAACCAGATCTGTTTACAGACATAAAGAAGAAAGTGTTATGTTCTGGGGAATAATATGACCTGTGAAAAAACTACTTTAATTTCCATTCAACCAACTTTAATAGCTCGCAGGTATGTTGATTTGGTTCTGGAATCTGTAGTTAGACTCTACAGACTTCTTAGAAGCATTAGATATCACTATTATGTAATGGCCTGCTTGCTCACTTGATCTTAACTCTATAGAGCATTTGTGGAATATGCTTAAAAAAAAGAATTTGACCTCGCCAGCATAATTCACCAAACACCTTACAACTAGTACAAGCTTAACGATTTGTTTAGGAGCATTCCCACGCAAATTGGAGCTTGCATAAGGCCTAGGGTTACTAACACCGACTACTAAAAAAGCATAAATAAATAAAACCAATTTAAATATTATTCCTTGTAATTGAAATCTTGTATGCTATTGACTTTACAGCCAATAATTTCAATTTTAAGAATTTATGAGTTTCTTTAATTGTTATGTATTGGTGATTAAATTGTTTTAAAATAAATATTCTTTGACTTTGTAGGCTGGTTTTTTTAAATTCGATGAAAATAATAAGAAATATAAGATGATTCCATATAGGTTTGGTTGTGTGTATATATTGGGACAGTGGTCCCTTAATGTGGGACAGTGGTATATATGGTCACTTAACTTTTTTCTAATAATCTTGAATCATAAAAAGCAGGTCTTTTTATATCGGAGGGCGACCCATCGTTTCAGGTAGGTATTACCTGGGAATTTCTGCCAACAGGTAAAATCTAGAACATATCAGAATTAGAAAGAATATTTATGAGACATATTTATCGTAACAATATGATCGTACTATATTATCGATTGCCAGATAAAATAAATGCATTATGTTAAATGCGATTGTTCACAGTCAATCCTACGATCTAGGCGAGGATACGACGCGATGGCCTCCGTTATGAACGTAACCTTAGGGTTTAAAATAATGCATATAGGTAACTTGGCAATCGATAAAACTAATATGGTACGATCCTATGGTCGGAGCGAGGGTCGGCGATCGGCGCCTCGTTGTGAGCGCCCATTTGGACTTCAAAACTGCTGGATTTCGTCTGGGCATTGATTCGACTATTAAAAATCAGAAGATGGCAAGATGTTGCCAAAAACCGAACAGAATGACGACGAATCTTAGAGCCGGCCAAGATCCACAGATAATTGTCGAGCCAAAGATGATGATTGATTCGACTAAGGATCTGCATTTATTCAGGGATAAATTCATTCCATATCTGCTCTATGTTGGCTTTAAGTTCGTGTAATATCCCTTGTAGGTTGTTCCTTAGTGTCTTTTTCATTTAATAAAATAATAATAAAATAACAGTCAACCACCTTTAATTTATCCCAATATAGATGTTAGAGCTTTTTATTTTGAGGTTTTCAAGTCCACTTCGAAAATCGTCGAGAATTAACAAATAAGTGGTCAAGTTGGCGTTAAGTTAGGTAAGGTTTGAAAGGGTAGGCTTTATAGATATATAATGCAAGATAGACTGATTATTGCAATAGCACGTGGTTCCCCCAGTGCGACAGAGAAAAATGACGCAAAGCAGTCCATGCATCTCTTTTTAATGGGCGGGGTTTGTCGACATTATCATTGGTCATTTAGGTCATGTGATCGATAAACCCGGTAAATAAGAAAGAAGTGCAGGTACTACTTTGCGTCGGTCGTCAGTGTTCTCTGTCATACTAGGGGAACTGGCTGGTATTGCAACGTTCCATCCATCGTTTATTATATATGTCTATGGGAGACTTGACTAGTTGTGTTTATATTTGGTTAAGTTGTGTTAA